TTGTTTTATTTTCCATATATGTTTGAACTAAACTAAACTAAACTAAACCAAACTAGAGTAAACTAAACTAAACTATACTAAACTAAACTATCTGAACTGTTCTCAAGTAGCAAAATTATAATAAAGGAAATGCATTATGTTGTCAAAAACTATAATGTAAACAGATGTTTTATTAAAGAAATAGAGCACTTTCTTTTTCTGTACAAGCAGTGTACATGTCACCCTCTTAAACTGTGGTGTCGTTTTCTTCYCGTTTACCAGTGTGAGGTGAGGTTGGCCCAGAAGCGTGTTTGCCTGGAAAGCAACCTCAGCGGTGGAGCCAGTGAGGACGAGGAGGGAGACGATGGAGACTCCGACTCGGACGAAGAGTCTTCAGCCAAAGCTCGCTACTTTGGCTACGTCAAGCAGGGCTTGTATTACGTGACGGAGATGGAGCGCTTCGCACCGCCACGCAAGCGCCCGCGCACCGTTATTAAGAACCACCGCTTGGTCAGTTTGAGGTCCACCACACCAGAGGAGCTGTATCAGAGAAAGGTATTTTTAGTTGTTATTAAAAAAACCCACATCAAGTCAACATCAAATGGTGTTGAAAGTTTTCTTCATACTTTTTTAAAATCACTTCAGTAGAAAAAAACCTTAATATTAGTTTCTTAATTTCTTCATCATCAGTGATTTATTTATTTATTTATTTTAAGCAAAGAGAAAATAGAGAAAGAGGGAAAACAAAGAGAGAAGTAATTAGAAAGATTGAAATAGAGATTAGAAGTATATTAAATATACACCAAGAAAACACAGGACCACACACCCAACATCTGTCTGCTCGCCTGAAAAATAAATGGCTAAATACATGGATGTGTATATAAATATATACACATACCTTGGTTGTGAACATGTGTGTATATACAAGATTTCTCCAATGGAATATTTAATAGTGACTGTGGAGGATCGGAGACCCAACCCCCAAGACACGAGGCAGACATAGGGAAGACCAGAGCCCAAGGGCCCGAGAGGGATCCCGAGCGCAGAGCCCCAAGGGGCACCCGCATGGGAAGATCCGCCCACCCACCCCCCAGATCAGACCATAGGGGAGAACTGGGTGAGTCCCCCCCAGCGACCACACGCACAGCCTCCGGGGCCAGCAGCGACAAACTTATGGGCCCCACAGGCACCCGCCATACCAGAACAGATCCAGGAAAGGGCACAGAGGTCCGGGCCCCCAGGGCGCACCCCCTCCAGGCCAAAGCCCGAAAGGGCCAGAGGCCCCGAACCCCAGCAGGTAGTCACCAGGCCATGCCGGCACACACCCCAGCACCCAGCCCCAGACCCCGGGAACCCCCAGCACGCCGGCGGCCAGCCGCACACCCCACCGGGGGGCCGAGTAGCAGCAGGCCCCCAGATAAACCAGCAGGGGGGGCAGCCCAGACCCTAGCCTGACAAATACCCAAACATACACAATTGCACCATCCCACCCTCATCCTCACCCCCACTCAGTCAAAGACATACAAGGACGCCACATTCCACTCATACCCCCGATACACACTCTATATCCCCCAGGTCCAGGACATGTACCCACCCCCTATTGGAGGCAGGACACACCCRAACCCAGGAGGTAGACCCAATCATTCTGAGGTAGAGAGGAGCAGATAGCCAAGGCCCGGCCCGGGCCGCACCAGGACGCCCGGCCAGCCCCCCGCCGCAGAGAAGCCATGCCCATGAYCACCCCACCACACTGCCAACGGCCAAGTGCACCCCCCCAGCCGATCACCTCCCGGAACCCGGCAGCCACCCCGGCCAGCGGGCCATCCACAGAAACCAAGAGCCACACCTCAGGAGACCAAGCAGCACCAGGGAGGATGGAGAGCCAGCCCCGGCCCTGGCAACCATCCAAGCCCCGAGCCCACCCACAGCCCAGGACCGCATCCGGCGGCCCGCCCTTCTTCAGGACCCCCTCCCCAAATGGCAGTCGGGGAACTGCCATATCAGAAGCCTTTTGAGTAAAGCCTTGGGAGTAAAGACCCTGTCACCCACCCCCCACCCCCAGATGTACTGTTGGTGCGTGTTGTTCTATAAAGCAATTAAAAAGGGAAAGAAGAAGAGGCAGAGGCTGGCGTGGTGCCAGTTTCCCCTCCACCACTACTCTAACCCAAAACCCTAAGTGTYTACATGCAAACCTTGGGGGTGGGCACAGGCACAGGAGGCGAGAGTGGTGCCATCCGGCCACCTATAGCCATGAGTGCCCACCATAAGTTCCTCTATGTGAATGTCAAGAAAATGTTATGAGTGAATGTCTAAGATGTACAATAAAATTAGGGGCCCAGGTGGTAATGGCAAATAGAAATGTAATATTGTTGCTCTTATAACACAACTGTGCCCCCAAAAAAAAAAAAAACCTACATGGGTGAAGTTGAAAGTGAAGAGGATGGAGGTGTGTGGTGAGGGATGGGGAGAATAATCTGAAGGAGCAAAGTGCTCCCACAGGGAGTCAGCTCCCCCCGCTGGCCCCAGTAAGCCCTCCCATTCCCCAAAACCCACCCAGGAAGAGCAGCCCAAATACCTCTCCGTCCAGGCAAAACGCCAAGCCCACAGAACCCCAGACCTTGGACGGACGGAGCCCCGAATGCCACCAGAAACTGGGACCAACACCCCACCCCCCAGAGCCACCCAGACCCCCAAAACCCGACCCCGGCCCCATAGCTGGCCCGCCGCCCACAGAGGCCACCGTTCCCCAGCAAGTTTTCTTCATACTGAATCTCAAAGTGAGAATTTCTCTTTAGAAAGCTAACTTTCATATGTGAGGTGTAAAAACTTTGGTGTTTGCTTTTTGAAAATTGAAACTGTTTTAATGTTCATATATCTTAAAATATACTTATTTAATGTGGCTGTAATGTGTAAAGTTAGTCTAGGAACAAAAATAATCCAGAAACTCCTGTACGAAATTGAATTGTGAATTGTACCAAAAGGCTTCTGATACTCTTTAGTTGTTTGACGTTGATGTTTTATCCACAATTTCCTCTCGAGCTGTTGCACTCATTTTTCCTTTCACTCCACGTTGTTCTTTTTTTATTTTTAAGCAGTTATAAGGCACAGTGGTGAAACATGAAACTGCTGCTGCACATGTTACTCAGCAGGTTGTTACTAGCTTACCAAAGAGTGAGTGAGGTCATTGATGCCACTAACCTTGGGCCATGAGAAGTTGAGTGGCTAAATATTTTCCTGTGCCTATGCCCCCCCAGAATGCCATGCGGTTCTGGATCAGAGTTCAGTGAAACTATCAACATTCTATCTGCCATATTTTTTTAGTAATATTGATCACTTATTGTGTTATCACCCAGCCCTTTTGAGATACCTTTGTACACTTTTGATGAGTGTGTTATTTGAGTTATTGAGTGCTCCATAAATATATTAATTAGGAATGAACCAACATCATATTTTTATCCAGAGAACATTCTGATATTGAGTGCCATTACCAAATGCTATTTCACTTCTTATACAGTAATCATTTTGAACATATCATAGTGGTTAGCACTGTTGCCTCACAGCAATAATGTCCTGGGTTCAAACCCTGGGCTGATCTTGTGGTTTTCTCCAGGTACTCTGGAAAAAAAACATTCACCTGCCCAGAGATCTGGGGTCTCATTGGGATTTACTTGGTTAAGTAAAGTTAATAAAATGAATAAACTTCATGGTGCTATATGTTACACCAACTTGTGGGGATAGTAGATCAACACACCCAAATAAAACAAACCACAACAACAAAACTTTCCTCTACATGGCTAACATTGTTAGCTTCTTAAAGGGGCTATATCATGTAAAATCAACTTTTTTGAGTTTTATAGCATGCTATAATGTTATCTTCTCATCAAAAACATGCCCAAAGTCTTACTTTGACTCATTAACGCATGTTTGAGAAATCCTGTGGTGTCCTGAGGCAGCCAGGCAGGGGAACAAAAACGACAGGTTGGGACTAGAAATGCCTTTTGGGACATCTCCGCCTCTGGGCTGTGTCTCCAATCTGAGCTTCCTCATCACGGAGCACACATCCACATCTCCCACCCTACACACCCCGCTCATGACTCCTGCAGGCTCTCAGCAGCAACAAAGCAAACAACTGGTGAAACTGAAAGTGAAACTGAAACGGTCTGCTGAGCTCCTAACACTACTTCTCACTCAGTGAGCTCCTTTCAGATTCAAAATACCTTTGAGGAAATGTATTTTCAGATGCCAAGTAAGCTGCATCATGCCCCCCCCCCCACACGCACCAAAATGGGCGGAACAGAAGCGGAAGGTGGTTCTTAAAGAGACAGAGGCCAATTTCAAGGCGTTTAGAAGAGGAAGTGATGAGAAGATAAGTTTATTTTCTATTTAAACATAAAAACAGCATTTTAATATCAAGTAAAGGTGACATAGATACTTTATTGTGGTATAGTATTTAAATATATGCCTGAGAAACACATAATATTGCCCCTTTAATATTTTATTGAAATACTTTGAGTATGAGTACGTGATCATCATCATATTGTGTCACACCAGAAAGACAGTCATGTCTTTTTTCTTTTTTTGACCTAATAGGGGTCTGCAGATGTTATACAGCATGTACCAGACTTAAGGACTTAAAATATGATCCATGTTCTGGATTTGGTGACAGTATTCACAGGCTGCATTCCTAGCTAGCCTTCGTTGTACCAAGTTAATTTTGGTCTTTCTGATCGGAAAAGACCAGTCGAAAACCTACAGCCAATTGTTCTCAGGGTCCAAGGGATGGATGGGTGCTCTATGGTCAGTTGTCCCTGATCTTTCCATTGGTTTATCTGTATTTCCTGGGTGTTATGTTTATATGTTAAATTGTGGATGTTAAATTTTTTTCTGGACTTTAAATGTACCCAGACTGGTGTTTGTGATTACAGTAGATGCCAAGGGTCATTTTCCTATTTCCTTTTTTCATTTTTATTGATTGTCTCCGAGTACAGGATATTAGACCAATACTTGTATTTTGTTAGTGTATCCTTAATATTATTATGTCTAATTAAAACAAAATCAATGTTTCACTATTATCAGTGTGCCTTGTTAAGCCTCAGTCTGTTATTATAAGCAAATACATTTAGCTTTTCTATAACTTGTGTGACATGTTTGTAGAAAAAAAGCTATTTTATGACTTTACAATTTTTTTAATTATTTTTTGTCCCTTTGCTACAGTTGTGTTTAAACTCTGAAAGAGAGACAGCATCTGTGGTGTTCCTGTTCCTGTTTACTAATTCATAGCAGCTCACACAACAACATGCTCTTGTGAAAAGCTGCCATCCGTGTTCATGCTGGAATGCCTTCATGTTTGGGTTTGAATGTTTTATTTATTTTTTTATAGCTCAGCAGTCCAGACAACAATTCCCTTCAGCTTGACACAGTGTTACAAATTCATTTTTGTTGAACTGAATATTGCTTCATTATTTGAGAGATGCTTTTTTATAGCTCTAATCTCTTCTGCTCAGCCTTTATCATTTTAAAACAAATGCACGAGGGTTGTGGATCTCAGTCTGAAACCAGTAATCATTATAAAGAGTGTTTGTTTTCCCATGGAAGATGCCACATTTACTCTGAAACTCTTCATTTCTTTCTGTCACTTAATTTAACAGCTATTGAAGAAAGCAACATGCGTCTGTTTGGTCATTGACTGAATTGTAATGGGCTGATCAGCAAAAATGTTTTCTGACTAAATAAATCCCGTCTCGGCTCAGGGGAAAGGCTATTGTTTTGTTGGCGCCATTCCAAAGATCTACTGAGGGGAAATGAAACCAAGCAAGATGCTCCATTTGCTTTAAGGCTATTTTTCAGTCTCATGGGGGGGAGGATTCTCTGAAATGCTAATTGCTGTATAGAAATATGGCTGTTGGGGCTGCGTGCTACAAACTGCAGCAAAGACGACAACAAGCTCCATCACGGGGCGCAGTGAGAGTGGTATCTGCTCTCCACAGTCCTGTGTTTCAGCGTTGGTTCATCAGTCATTTTTATGACCTGTCATCTGCTGCCTTCTTCATCATTATTGTCATCATCATTAGATGCCATCAGTCATCACCATCAAGCCTAACAGTGAGAGTTACAAAGTAATACATCATTATTATCTCGTTGTTACACTTGGGACCGRCGGCGCTTCCCCAACTGCTGATGCTGCTTATCTGCTGGGCTTGTTTTGTTGTTGTTCACCTTCATGTAGGTGTGGAACTAAAAAGGAGGAGGGGCTTCTCAGTGTGCTTATATTTACGTGTATTCAGTAGTGTTGGAACAGTACATCGTTTGGAATGGAACTGTCCAGTGCATTAAATAAAATGAAGAATGCATTAGTTTTTATTTGCTAATTGCTAACAGGAGTAAGCTATGGGAAGATACTATCTAAGGCACTCTGCACCAAAGCAAAGCATGAATCATTACTAATGTGTAAATTACAAACAGGGTCTTTAAGACCTGGAAGTGTTGAAGTTTTTGCAATGATTAATGGCAGCAGTAAAAAGTGAGAGGTGGATGTATGTAATAATAATTCATATGTTTTGAAATGCCCTCTGGTCTTTAACAAAATTCTGTTTACTTAGAACTCTAAGGTCTACCAATGAATGAGTAGCACTCATAAAGCTGAGATGCTAGGCGTGAGTGCTTAACATGTTTTTTTTTCGTTTTCGTATTTAAGAGATGTAGTTCATTTCCTTGTATTTTCCATGACATGTATTTTTTTTTATAAATTTAATAAAGAAATTGTATGATATTATTTATTTATTTTATCGTAAAGTTTCCCGTTGACAGACCCTACATTATATAGCATTATAAGGCAACTCTCACCTCCCACACCAAAAAAATAAAAATAATAATAAACACCAGCCCCGCCCCACTCTCAGATGTCCGGCCCCTGAGCTGTTGGCTTTGAGTAACTGTGGCCCTCTGTCCAAATTAGTTGAATAGCCCTGGCCTACTTCTTTAGAGCCTCCAGAAAGGGCCATTTTTCTTTTCTTTTTTTTTTTTCGGTTGTGCCAAACTTATCTTAAACCTGTATTGACTGACGAACCAAGATATGTACCAAATTATATGATATATTTGTTTAATTCATTGATTCATGTCATTAAAAAACAAACAAATATTTCACACAATAAAACAATACAAATAAAACAAAATGAAAGGCAATAGAAGAAGAAAAAAATTCTTATATCTGCCATTTTAAAAAATGTGTTTATATACTGTATATGTATATTTCAAACAATGATAAACCAAATAAAAAAAATTCAACTCAAACAATGCTTAATACAAATTAAACAATTTCATATTCTTTAACATTTTTTCTTTGATTGTTTTATTAAAGTAATTCACTGATCCAATGCTTTCATCGTCATTTTACAGATTATTCCATAGTCATACCTTTTACTGAAGTGCATCTGTCCTTCAAATTTGTTCTGATTTTCGGTTTAACAAACATTTGTGATCCCTTCAATATCACAGTAAAACAAACAAAAACCACTATCCGTGTCCTTGTGGAAATTAGTTTTAAAGTCAATAGCTGCTTCACACATAATTAATAAATAGACATTTTGATAAACTGAAAAATAGTAATACAAATAATTTGTGTAGTGGTACACCCCTAATAGTTAGTCTTTGAACCTGTGTCAGTTTGAAGTCTTCAGTGTTAACACAACGTGACATTTCTATAATTTGACTTTTGTTCAGTCTCAGAAACCGAAGGAAGCCGATCTCTCCCCTGAGGTTTTTACCTCACTTAGATTATGTAGTGAAATTCACTGGGTATTTACAAGAACAAGTGGGTTCTGGTCAAGTGGGTTATTTCCTTTAGCCAGCCTTCTCACACAGTGAAGAGTTTGATGATGCACTTGGCTGTGAAACTTCGGCTGCTTGAGTAGCACACTGGCAAGGCTACTGACAGCTGTATTAGCTGAATCTAGAGACCGATGGAAGTGCTTTTTTTGATGTCCTCCTACGTGAGGTTTAACTGCGTGGAGATCTTACTGGCCTCCAGGAATCAGCGTCTGGCTAATGTGTTGCTTTGTACTCCCACACAGTGAGAGACAGAGGGATACTTAGTGTTACTGCCGGCCAGCATGCTTGCATATACAGGTGCTTACGCATATATTAAGTGAGACGGCATAAAATGAGTTGTCACTTTTTGCTGCTTGATTAAACAGTTTGGTAAGGCAGCGGTATGACAGAAACCTTTTGTTAAACGGAATATGAATATTAATGACTATATCAACAGGGAGTCCTGCCTCTGTTAGTTTCTCTAATCTTTACCAAGAGATAAAAACGCAAGAAGCTGAATATAGAAGCTGTAAGGAAGTTATATATGTTACAGTCATTTTTATTGGCAACTCGGAGAAATGTTAATGACTTAGCAAATCTTTGGGTTGACTGAGCCTACACTGAATTTTTTGTACAGTTCAGTGTGCCATACGGTTGATTTATTCTTATGTTTTGTAAATTTGCCAAATGGTATTTTAATTGAAGAAGATGGTAAATTATATTGTGCACTGTAATGCAATGAAAGTATTGTATTGCATCATATTGCATCGTATCATAATATTGTCATATTTTTGTTGTTAAATGTGATCATTGTGCTCATTATAACATGTATACAGATTTTACATAGTTCTGATTGCTAAAACCACCACATTAAAGTGTTAAATAAGGCAACCATAGCTGATTAAATGTCATTATGTCAGTTCGTTGTGAGTCTGTAAGCATGCTGGGGCTGCCATGTCGTTTTAGACACCTGCTGTGTGTGTTGACATCTGCTTGTGGGATGTTGGCTGATAGGGTTTGGTATTGGTTTAATAGCATAACACTGATGCTGTGTGTAATAATTCAGTGACTGATGTCTTGCTTCTGATTCTTTTGGTGAGTTTCCTGTTAGGTTTACTCTCGTCAAAAATCCTGTTATACATTTAGTTCCACTCTTTTTCTCAAACGCAGTTCTCGTTCATTTCAAAGTTTATCAGACTGAAATCTGCTCTTTTAATTTTTTCTCAATCTTTTGAGTATAAATTTTGTTGTATGAACCCTTTYTACCAGCTTTGCATCTGAACAAACATCTTTTGTTGGTTTTCTGAATGGTAACCACTCTCCGTCGGCAGTTTTCATTTTGCACACATTTGTATCAGAAACACCATATTATTATTCCCTCATAGTTAACATTTCTGTCAGTGAAGCTGTTTCACAGCGCAAATAAAAAAGGCTTGCTTGTTGACTTCATTTATGTGTGCGCTCTTTTATTTCCCTTATAGATTGACAATGAAGAATATGGCGAAGCACTATCTCTTGCCCAGGCCTATGATCTGGACTCTGACCTTGTCTATCAGAGACAGTGGAGGAAAAGTCCAGTCAGTATTGCCTCAATACAAGATTATCTGGTAAGTTTGAGGAAGACTGATGCGAAGATTAAAATCAGGTTTATGGTTGTTGATCAGTTTATCAATTGTTTGGTAAAAGTACAAAGTAAATACAGTATATCACAAAAATGATGACCCCCTCCTCACATTTTTGTAAATATTTTATTATATTTTTTTCATGGGACAACTTGATACAATGTTAAGTAAATGTACAGCTTGTCTAATAATGAAAAWTGGGGCGTCTTGGGGCAAGAAAGTCACAGGTTTGATTCGCTGTAGGGGTGCACYGATTTCCTTAATTTTGGAAGATCWGAGTTMRACCAACAGTTTGTGGAAAAGAACGGCTTCTCATCTAACTCCAGGTCTGAAAATCAGCCACCGTTCCCTTTTTGCTCTTCTGTGAGCACTATTGAATATCCAGTTAAAACAAGTTTGTATTGTTTCAAGGGTATTCTTCAATGTTTTTAATAAAATAAGACTGGAACATTGAAGGTGACCTTTTAACACCTGACAGTGTCAGTTATTTAAAATATCGAAATCAGAAGCTCAGACTTTTTAAAGATCAGTGATCAGCCAGAAAACTGCAAYTGGTGCACCCCTAATTCCCKGCTATTCCCACATGCTATGGTGTCCTTGAGCAAGACACCTAAACCCTCACTGCTCCCCGGGTGCTAGATGCCCGCTCCTCCATTTGGGTGTATCTCATGTGATGCGTCAAATTCGGAGCACAAATTTTATCGTTGCATGTGAACATGCATTGTTGACAATACATACCACATAAATTGACTGTCCCCTTCAACACGCAGCCTTTAATGTGTMAACACAAACTGAAATGCACTAAAAACCTCCCTATTCAGTTTTAGGCATGATTTTTTACCATTTATAGAACATTATCACACCCTTTATTTTCTAATTTCCTTCTGTTTCTTCAAACTCTTCTAGAGCAAAATCCGCAAGCGCTCCTGGGTGTTGCATGAATGTGTGGAGCGAGTACCAGAGAATGTTGATGCTGCCAAAGAGCTGTTGGAGTACGGTCTGAAGGGAACCGACCTTGAGGCCCTGATAGCCATTGGGCATAATGAAGAYGGTGGCAGGTGGGACATGTTCACACACACACCCCACCATCTGGGATGAACAAATCTTTAAGTAACAAGCAGCCTTTTGTGCCTTACCTGTCCAATAACTGGCAGAATTTTGTTGGTAATGCTTTTAATTTGAATTGTTCAGGTTCATCATGCCAGGTGATGTGGACATCGATGACCAGCCTTATGAAGACACTTTGTCAGGTGATGAAGAGCTAGAGATGAAAAAAGAGGAGGCGGCACAGAAGAGACGAAAGCTTCTGGCCAAGGTTGACTTCACAAGGTACTGATTCAGTCAAATTGTTGGTAACATCAAAGTTTCTTGAGAGACCACCAACCTGATGAAAGTGTAGTGACTGAAATGCCAAAGATGTCTCTTTTTTTTTTGAAGGCAAGTCTAGGTTAAATAACCAACAGCAGAGTTACCGTACGCAAGACTTTCAAATACCTTAAAGCAGTGGTGTCAAACTCATTTTTACTGAGGGCCACATGAGCATTAGGGTCACCCTTGAAGAAACAGTTGTAATTAACTTTGACCTTTTGTGTTTAACTTTAACTAAATGTCATGTTCCTCGTCTCATTTTTATGGACGAGCAGCGCTAACAAACACTAACTGAGCTCTACTTGGTATTTTGTGCATAGAAACAGTGTTTTAAACACTGAAAAGTATGTGTACAACTGACTAAATGTGAAATAAATAATACAGAAATACTAATAAAAGTAAAAGTAAGAGTTTTACTTACTGCTGAGCTTTGGTCTTGAATTTTGATCTCTTTCACTCTTGGACAGGGAATTGCCACTGAAGGGAGTGTGCTAATTTAAATTTACAACTTTAAAGTGGGGAATTCCCCATTTCCCAGTACAACTGGGCCACAGCAAAAGTAGCCGGTGAAAATGCTGTGAAATGGAGGTTTTACACTGCGAAAATTGCCATCAACTAGTGGTGGGATGCTGTCATTTAGTAAGTAAAATTATCAACATGCATAATGGGAGATGTAGTTTATGGTCATTTCTATTTTTTTTAAAACAGCTTGTTCTTATTTTAAGACATTGCTGGTAAAATATCTTCAAAGTTCTCATGGGCCACATAAAATGTTGTGGCGGTCCACATTTGGCCCATATGTCTTGAGTTTGACACGTGTGCCTAAAGCGATAGTTTAGATCTTTGAAGTGGTGTTATGTGAAACAGTTTATTTAATAGTAATGCTTATTGAATATAGCTTTTTGAATGGACTTAGTTTCAAGAAATAATTAAGATTTAAATATTTTGACTAATTTACAGCTAGGCTTTGTTTGGTCGAGGTCACAGGAGATGGTTGCCATTTTAAAATAATGTTGGTCTCAAAACATTTTTAGTTGAAAAAGCTGTTTTATAATTCTCCACATTGCCGTCACTTATACATTATGCAGTTACTTCAGCATAAAAATGTGTGGAGAGTCTTAGTCAAATTTTAGGTGTATTGCATCAGATAAATGAAAGTTTATGAATCAATTTTTAAATATCAAAATGGATTTTGTTTAGTTATTAACATTATGTTGAAAAACAAGAAAAGTGGAACTCAGAAGTGTGAGAGTGCAGAGCTACGACAGTGTGTGACGTGCAAATAACAAACACATGTACAAGATGTTTAAACAAGATATACAGGATGACTAAAAATAAAATTAATTGGAATTGGTTTGTTCATTCAACACCAGCAGCTGCAGAGCATCCAAGAAAATTAGATTACAGTTGCAGTTTGGGTTTTCAGACACCTTAAACTCCATATACACAGGAAGTGATTGCACTGCTCCTGAGATTTATTTTTCCACTACTGGGAATATTGGAGAAAAACAGAACAAATTAGGTCTGTTTTCCCATATTCTGGCATCTAATCCTAAATCAAACAGATGCGCTCTGCGTTTTCTGAAAGCACAGACTGTAGGAGAGGATCTGTTTGGCTGGTGAGTAGCTGCTGGAAACGAGCTTAATTGGCATCCAGGGCCCTGCTTTGGTTTCTGGTTGGAAGTTAATAAAACACCATTGGTGTAATTATTTTACATCATGTTGCTCCTTTTTCACAAAACTGTTGATTTTTTTTTGTATTTATTCACTTGACTTGGAAGAAAAGAGAGAAGCATTTGTTGAGGGGGTGGGGGGGGGAAATCCCCAAATAAAGGGAAACCTGACCCTAACCAGTGGGATATGCCTGGTTGGCTGATCTTTGCCTTGTGCAAATAAATAAATAAATAAATAAATAAATAAATAAAAAATGTTGGCATCAACTGATAGACAAAAAATGATACATTTTAGTTAAAGTGTTTAAGGTGCAGAAAATGAAATCAAGAGTAATACAGGGCTTCCAGATTTACCACTAATAGTTTGATTAGGTGGCACACTAGGGATGGGATCACAAAGTCAGGGATGTTAATGAGGATGAGGGAGAAAAAGACTAAAAAAAAAACACTGGTGGAGATTAGTGGGTAATCAGCTGGAGGTAATTTATTCCTTTGTTGTCAAGTGCCCAGAGAAAGACTAATGAAACACCCTTTAGTGATCACTAATCACCTCTCATAAATGCAAATTCACATGTCGGTGTATCCTGAAACACTGTTAATGCGATTTCATGCCCGTTACGCGCACGTGTTCGAGGTACAAAATGTAATAAACGAACAACGCACTTTTAAAATGCACATTCATACTGTGTGCACTGTGCGTACAGCTTTTTCAATCTGGAGTTGCTCGATTGTGGAAGTCCTTGTATTTTCTCACAACAGGTGCTTATAGTAGCTGGTGAACCTTCAAAGCATGTTTGAATTAGGAACATCTTAAAGTCTGTAATAGTAAGTCCTTATAATGGCTGCCCTTCATTTTGCTGTTTATTTGTTTTTCKTCCCTTTGTGATTTTCTGTGGCTCATTCACCATGTAATAAAAMCAAGCTTTATAGCAGACCTGTAGTCCAGTGTAGATAAAGAAAAGATGGAAGTTAGGAACAGTGTTTTAAGAGGCTGTAAAAGAAATCGATAATTTATAAACATTAAAAAAGCCCATTGCATTAAGCTCCCTGTGAATTTATTTCTTTAGACACGTCCATTTTTCTGCTTTACCTCTCTTTAAGTTAGAGTGTCTTTTAGGCAACTGACATGTGTCGTCTAAATGTGTTTATGTGTCTGTGCCTCCTCCCCTCACTAATGGATCTAACAAGTTGACTGCAGGCCTGCAGCTGGAGGCCCGAGTCAGATCATAATTCTCTTAATTTCTTTTTAACTACAGGACCATTACAGAAATGSCTCGGTATCGATCACGTCTGCTCAGATAACATAGAGGCACATGTGCTTTCTGTGGGGCGTGATGCAGTTTTGTGTAAATAAGGACARCATTTAACTACTGACCGTCACACTGAATGCATCTTTGATCCTGCTGGGTGTCCGCACCATGAAATAAAATGTAATTACTTTTAGTTTTGCGKTAAAACAAGAGAAGAAAATAAGCCATAGAGGACGTCATTGTAGCTCTTTATTGATCAGTCTATTTCAGGAGAGACTGAAACCGCTCCATTTTGTTCTTTTTTACTGATCTCTGTGACATCTCTTTACAATGTCTCTTCTCCAAGAGACTTCTGAAGAGTTGCAGGTAAGYAGTGCTTTTACATGGAGGATCAACAAACTTAACAATGACAATCAAAGCTGGTTGTTCACATGCAAAAGGACCATCAGTCTAACGACTGATTGTTAGTATCCTGACAGTCACCTATTGTTCACAGAGGACCGAGTCATACTCACAATAACTGCATTGTAAGAAGGGGACAATTAGACATGGAGGCCTCCACCCCTGTTTAACGACGAGCAGTTTCTCTTCACAAAAATATCTTCCTTTATTCTCTCAAACAAATGTTCCTCCCTGTCAAGGATGAGAATATCTTCATCACGGAAAGAGTGACCACTGGCCTGTAGATGAGTGTAGACTGCAGAGTCCTGGCCTGTAGATGAGTGTAGACTACAGAGTCCTGGCCTGTAGATGAGTGTAGACTACAGAGTCCTGGGGTCTCATTTATAAAGGATTGCGTGGAAACCATACTAAAAGTGAACGTACGGCCAAAAGGCGGAAATGGCGTACGCCAAAAAAAATTAAGATTTATAAAACCATGCGAATGCACGTTTCTGCGCATCTTTCCTTTATAAATCACAGCTGCACGTCAGTTTGAACACGAGGTCCTCCTCAGG